TCTACTTGTCCCTCATGCCAATCTACTTGTCCCCCATGCCAATCTACTTGTCCCCCATGCCAATCTACTTGGCCCACATGACAATCTACTTGTCCCTCCTGACAATCTACGTGTCCCTCCTGACAATCTACGTGTCCCTCCTGACAATCAACTCGTCCCTCCTGACAATCTACGTGTCCCTCCTGACAATCTACTTGTCCCTCCTGACAATCTACGTGTCCCTCCTGACAATCTACGTGTCCCTCCTGACAATCTACGTGTCCCTCCTGACAATCTACGTGTCCCTCCTGACAATCTACGTGTCCCTCCTGACAATCTACGTGTCCCTCCTGACAATCTACGTGTCCCTCCTGACAATCTACGTGTCCCTCCTGACAATCTACGTGTCCCTCCTGACAATCTACGTGTCCCTCCTGACAATCTACGTGTCCCTCCTGACAATCTACGTGTCCCTCCTGACAATCTACGTGTCCCTCCTGACAATCTACGTGTCCCTCCTGACAATCTACGTGTCCCTCCTGACAATCTACGTGTCCCTCCTGACAATCTACGTGTCCCTCCTGACAATCTACGTGTCCCTCCTGACAATCTACGTGTCCCTCCTGACAATCTACGTGTCCCTCCTGACAATCTACGTGTCCCTCCTGACAATCTACGTGTCCCTCCTGACAATCTACGTGTCCCTCCTGACAATCTACGTGTCCCTCCTGACAATCTACGTGTCCCTCCTGACAATCTACGTGTCCCTCCTGACAATCTACGTGTCCCTCCTGACAATCTACGTGTCCCTCCTGACAATCTACGTGTCCCTCCTGACAATCTACGTGTCCCTCCTGACAATCTACGTGTCCCTCCTGACAATCTACGTGTCCCTCCTGACAATCTACGTGTCCCTCCTGACAATCTACGTGTCCCTCCTGACAATCTACGTGTCCCTCCTGACAATCTACGTGTCCCTCCTGACAATCTACGTGTCCCTCCTGACAATCTACGTGTCCCTCCTGACAATCTACGTGTCCCTCCTGACAATCTACGTGTCCCTCCTGACAATCTACGTGTCCCTCCTGACAATCTACGTGTCCCTCCTGACAATCTACGTGTCCCTCCTGACAATCTACGTGTCCCTCCTGACAATCTACGTGTCCCTCCTGACAATCTACGTGTCCCTCCTGACAATCTACGTGTCCCTCCTGACAATCTACGTGTCCCTCCTGACAATCTACGTGTCCCTCCTGACAATCTACGTGTCCCTCCTGACAATCTACGTGTCCCTCCTGACAATCTACGTGTCCCTCCTGACAATCTACGTGTCCCTCCTGACAATCTACGTGTCCCTCCTGACAATCTACGTGTCCCTCCTGACAATCTACGTGTCCCTCCTGACAATCTACTTGTCCCTCATGACAATCTACTTGTCCTCAGACAAAAAATTTAACCAAAACTATATTTAGTTGTGCTAAGAAGCACTTTTCATTGGTCAGTGTGGTCAGGTGACCGCGCTGACCAACGACCAACGAGTGATCGCAATTTGCAAGCGAAATTTGAAATCCATAGTGCAGGACTGCCCTATGGGTTACAGATAGTACACCTGTACCAGCGGAGGGGAAGGACCGCTCGCCAAAAGGTATGTATTGGGGGGAAGAGGGGGACAGATTTCAGCGGGTAATTCAATTTTCCCAAATTTATTGGGAAAGTGAACTTACCCTTTAATGCACATGGTGCATGTTAGAGAGCGGGGCTAAATGTAGAAAAAAGAAAAAAAACTGCATGTCCTGAGCGTCGGGAGATAGGAACCTCTCCCTGGCTTGGGTAATTGCATCATGACAAGGGGGTGTATGTGCCTTAAAGTTCCGATCACACCTAGGCATTTTGTAGCTGAAGGCTAGTTCCCACCACAAACGCACTGGCTCACATCTTGACCGGCTCACTGCTTTCTAGGGCGAAGGAGGGGGGTGCATTGAAGTCAATGTCATAGCAGCCACGCCCCCAGTGCGATCGGCACATCACTGCCTGCGTTCCAGTCCAGGTGCGGTGAGAAAAAATGCTGCATGCACTATTTTTTTTTTTTACTGCACTGGACCAGAACGCAGGCAGTGATGTGCCACGCGTTCCAGTGTGGCCCATCGACTTCAATGCACCGCCAGGCCCCCTCCAACCCCAGAACGCAGTGAGCCGGCTGGGATACTTTTGGCGGAATTCAGCATTTTTGGCCCCATTGACTTTAATGGAAACGCCTATCACATGCCACACAGACATTTTTAAACATCTTTTTCTTTTTTTTTTTTAAACCTAAAAGAGGTGCGAACTGAGCCTAATGCAAAATCCCATCATTCCCAGCAAATCTGAACATGCCCCATTAGCACCTGAACATGCCCAAAATGCCACAATGCTGCATGTATTTATGAAACATGTGAAAAAAGTGTGTCACACTTGCTTTGCCATTCAATGTTACCGGCATCCCAAACGTGGCAAGCAAGAATCATGTTTTTAAGTGTGCAAAGACGCAAAAAACGTTCAGTTAAAAAATACGCAAAGTTTAAAGCTCCAAAAGGTGCAGGAGCTTCTGTGCTGCATTTGCCATAGGGCAGCCCAATGAAATGAATGTAGAACAACTACACAAAAAAATGTATAAATATGACGCTCGATGTGTGTGTGAACGGGCGGGTAAAGTGTATCCAAAGCCAAATCTTTCAATGGGGATACTTGTTCCTGAGAGAAGATTTATCTCACTATGGAGACCTTGTGTTTCACATCCTACTGCGCCTATGAAAAGAAATCTCCCCAATTGTAAAAGAATTACCTGACCGTGTTTTACCACTCCCTGCTCTATTCAGAATTTCTTTGGACATTTACATAAAAAAAAAAAAAAAGACACCAAACTCTATGTTGGGGTCATTTTACATTGTAGAAGGATTGTGTGCGTCTTGGTCACATGACAGCACTGTGACACCTATCATGTTTTACGGCCGCTGTGTCACACTATTTCCAGCGTCTGTATGTAAATGTCACCAAATGCTACCAGGAAGTATGTACTTCAACTACTACAAAATAACCTTTAAAAGAGGCCCTGTCTGCTAATATATATATATATAAAAAAAAGAGCACCAGTGAGTACTAAAGTCCCTCCAGGAGTCTCTTCTGAAGTGCAACTTGTTTCCTCAGCCATTCGGAAAATAGAGTGAAAAGCCTATTTACACACTCAATGTATCTGAACATGTATTAAATATTGCTTGTCTACCATACAAATCACACAGTTAGAATGAAGATATTGTGAATATTCCCCAGGGAATACCAGGCCATCAATATATGTGCACAGCTATGACTGTAAACACACCATAATATAGGTAATAAAGGCATATATATGCTCACGTATAGTGATCAGCCTGGGCTTGGTGCAAACCCAGTTCACCCAAGCCCACTCAAAACTGAGACCACCACCCCCTCACAGTGGCGGAGGCATTCTCTACCCCTTTATGATGTACAGGCATGTCACCCAGCACCCATGTCATTACGCACGTGGGTAATGATGTCACGTGCACGTTACTGCTGGTGGCCATCTTGGTGATGGACACTGGCAAGGAGAGGAAGGGACATTCATGTGGCAGGATAAGGCATGCCCCCGGGGCCCCTCCTCTCTCTCTCGGTCCAGACTTTTCAGAGGAGGTGACACCCAGCGCATGCCGCAACCCCAGCATCCCCCTTGTGACGCCTCTGATGATATATAGCTGCGGGGTGGGGAATGCTCCTCACCGCAACTGATTGTGTCCGGAAGGGGGTGTCAGAGTTTTGAGCGGGCTTAGGCAAACTCAAGCAAACTGGGTTCACACCAAGCCCAGCCTCATCACTATAGATATGTAAAGGAGGACCTCAAACATCTACTAGCCAGAACAGTTCAATAGATAATATATGCATCCTAGCACAACATAATTGCCGCTTATTCCTATGGTTGGGGCAGCACAGTGGCTCAGTGGTTAGCACATCTACCTTGCAGCACTGGGGTTTCACTAGGACACTATCTGCATGGGGTTTGCATGTGCTCAAGTGGGTTTCTAGCTACAATCCAAATACTTGCCCGAAGGTTAAGTGGCTCCGGTCTGAATCGTCCCTGCATGTGTGTGTATACATGTGATTTTAGAGTGTAAGCTCCTCGGGCGCAGGGACTGCTGTGAATGTGCAATATGTAAATTGTTGGCGGTATATAAATACCAATAATGGATCACAGTGATCACATACCAGTCCTTCATCATTAATGAAAGAGGAGAAGAGTACACTAGCTGGAATAATCCTAACAGTTATGGTTGTCATCATTTCATTCTAGTCATGGTAACTTTGTCTGTGGTTCATATATCTCTTAAATGAGTTCTCCCATCATAGAGGTTGTTTCCCACATATGTCCAGGCAAGGTATAGGAGAGGCAATGAGGTGTCAGAGTCACTCAGCCCCGCTTCACCAATGCAGAACACCCGTCCCTGTAATCCCTGTAGAGCAGGGGTGGGCAAACACCAGCTGTGGTGAAACTACAAATACCATCATGCATCTGTCTCTGGGAGTCATGCCTGTGGTTGTGAGGATCTTGCAATGCCTCATGGGATTTGTAGTTCCACAGCAGCTGGAGCCTCCCCGGTGGAGTGACACATTGAGGAAGGGTCACTGAACTACTGCTGCACTTTATTTTGAATATAGATTGTATTTTTCCTTTGTGCTGTTTACTATTAGGTGTGCTTTATAAAGTGCATTATTTAGGCACACTGGTCGCCTGACTCCCGGCATCTGCCCAGCCCTGTAACACACACATATAGGTAATCAATATCTATCAAATCCAGCAACACTGAGCACTGCCTCCATATACAGAGGCAGCTATTTTAGGCCTGGAAGCTTACAATCTATTTGTCCGGTCCTCCACACATTCTTAGATCGTTTAGTTGTATCTCGTCCCTCCCTCATCTACTTTGTAGTTACCTTTCTCTGTCTGGGGAACTTACCGGCCTCCATCCTGCCCTGTCACCCAGGGACCGGCGCAGTCTCGTCCACAACAACAGTGAGCGCTGTGCACCCTGGGAAATGTAGTCCAGCGGCGGCTTGATTTAGTTACTCGTTAGGTTTCCCCGTACTACGAATCCCAAAGCTCAGCGCTCTGAGGGCCGGCCCTATGTGGTGTCGTCACGCTGGTGGGGGGCGCTGATTGGCTGGCTGTGGCAGGCGCTTATTTCCCTTTGTCAGCATGGAGGAGGTTAGAGTGTCTGATGTGGAGGTGTGTAACCTGGCGTACAGGGGGCAGCTGGAGGAGCTGCGGAGCATAGTGCTGGGAGACAAGGCTCTGGCCTCCAGGACTGACCAGGTAAGGGGGGCATCTGCCTAATGACTCCTATTTCCTGATCACTAGACACAATCAGAACACCACAGCAAACTTCTGATACCTGTAGCTGGCCAACTGCTGGAGGACTACAAGTGTCAGCACTCGCTCCACCCTGGTGTCATCATTGCTGAGTAGTATATCAGTCAATTCTAAGACAGTGTTCTGTATAGAATACCACTCCACTTGATGGAGAGGGGGGGGGGGGGGCCGCGCGCATTGGAAGCCAAAGTGGACAGAAGACAGCTGTGGTTACATCTTGATCACATCCTCTCCACATTGTGACAGTGTGTTAATGTGTGTTGTGTTTAGAATGCACTGTCAACACACCACAATGCACCTGCACCATTTATCCAACGCAGCACCACCACTGTGCGCCAAGACGTGTATGTGTATTGGGGTGCCATGTATTGCACCACAACACAACCCGTGCTGCATCTTGTGACAACACTCTGTAAGGACTCATTCATACCACAAAGCACGGGTTAATATGCGTATAACGTGTATGCCATGCATTGTTAAAACGCATCACAGTGCTTGCCTTTTTTTTTCAAACTTCTATAAATCTTCTGCACTGTAGTGACTCGTACAAAAATACAAAAGGTCCTACTTTTATTTATGGCACACCAATGCAACACTGCCCAACGCCACTGCCTCTTTGGATGAGTCTCTAAATGTATTTTTTATGGTGTTACCACAACACACATTTGAGCATGTGCCCTTACCCTAAGTGTAACGCCTAATGTACACATACTCCTAAACTTACTATAGTCCCATAAATAAAAGTAACCGCCAATCGTAATATCTTTAAAAAATTGCACAGCGCTAGAAACCTCTAATCAGACATGACATCCTTAAATTCATAAATTGGTTGTGATAAATACATATAAAAAAACAACGGTGAAAATGAATAACAGTGATGATGTAAAATATATGAAATATAATTAGTAGACTGACAAGTAGGACAGTCCAATTTGAAACCAGTGGATAATCAATACAAATTGTCCCCAAGTGAATGAAAGGTTTTCCACATCCAATTCTGTGTAACTAAACCAAAGCACCAATCCGTGTTCCAGAAGATTGTGATATTCTCCTAGTGAAAAGACACCCCCAATGGATGTACACTCACCCCAAGTGCTGACTGTGAACTGACAGTCAGCGAGCGCTCTAATACCAAACAAATGCCCGATGCACAAAGATCTCCTTCAGCGTTCTGCCCTCAGTACCTCCATTATTCAGAGCTTGTCCCAGATCATCAGATCGAGATAAACAGAAGCCCTGCTCTGGAGATCCAGGGAATGCCTGCGTTTCATAATATCACAATGAAAAGTATCCCACCAATAACAGTACCCAAATACTCTACACAGAGCTTCAACTGCTACACATGCAGTGAGGCCATGTCTGCCTGTGATTTAATGTGGAAAGGACAGGATCATGTTCAACCTTCATTAAAGGAAAAGTATTTTTTATGTACACGTAAAATTGAACAGCTTGATGTCACTAATGGTATTGATGTGTGTTAATGTTCTATATGTACATAGGGGCCTTATATTTACATCTCTTTCCTATACCTGTGTTTTATTCTAGGATGATAGGACACCTCTGCACTGGGCGTGCTCAGCAGGGCACACTGACATCGCTGACTATTTACTCCAGCTCGGAGTGCCAGTGGATGGTAAAGATGATGTAAGTTGATGGTTTCTTTTTACAGAAGATATTTCATATATGGAATACTAATCTGTCTGCTTCAAGTGACACTACACTCAGGAGTTAAATCTTAAAAATGCATTCAAGTACCCTAACTATTAACAAAAATGTATCTTATTTATGTATCACTCGGCTGCAGACCCTCAATCATCTCTGTGAATTGGTGATGACACTGTCCTTCCTTCTGGAGGGGGGCTACTTTTGTTCCCCATGGTCCCTGTAAAGTAGTCACCGCTCCAAGCTCGCTCCTGTGATGGACTACAATCTCATGTTTAGTTTACTAATTTGTAGGGAGATTATAGTCTATCACGGGAGTGATCTTGGAGCGATGGCTACTTCACAACACACAGGGACCATGGGGAACCACATAGCCAATCTCCAGAAGGAAGGACAGTGTCATCACCAATTCAGAGATGATTTGAGGATCTACAGACAAGTGATACACAAATAAGTTACATTTTTGTTAATAGTTAAGGTACTCAATGCATTTTTATGATTCAACTCAACTGAGCTTTGTGTCGCTTTAAATAGCACACAGGAGATGGAGGTCAGGAAGGTTTACATGTGTCACTGTGTTAACTGTGTCTCATGAGAAAACTTGCTGCAGATATACAGTGTACAGACTACCACAGGTGTATGCACATGTCTGTAGCAGTTACAGCCAAATCCCAGACAGTAACGTTGTTGCTTGCTGTTCCTATTACACTCCACTGGTACAGAACTGGGGGCAAATCTCCCCACTGAGGAGCAATGGACAGCAGTATATATTTTGCAGAGTATCTATCCTTTTCCCAATCTATGCAAAGAAACAAATGTGACTGTAGATGGACTTTAAAGTCCAATTATAAAGCCTACATTACTTTAAGCAGCTTTTGATGTTTTTACCCTTTTGTCTCAGGCAGAATGGACTCCTCTTCACATTGCTGCCTCTGCTGGCCGGACAGATATTGTCAGCGCTTTATTGGGGAAAGGAGCTCAAGTAAATTCCACTAATCAGGTCGGGTGCACGCCTCTTCACTATGCAGCTTCTAAGAACAAGTACGAGGTAACATTACCATTTGTTTGCTCATATGCAGAAATCTACTATTATATTATGTTGGGATTCACTTTTTCCTTCAATATTCACATACTTCTTACATACATGTTATTGATGTTGCCTCTTCACAGATTGCTGTGTTGCTTCTGGAAAATGGCGCTTCTCCTGATGCTAAGGACAAGCTGGAGTGCACCCCGCTTCATCGTGCAGCTTCCAAAGGCAACCTGAAGATAGTGGAAATTCTCCTAAAACACAAAGCATCAACGAATATACAAGACACTGAAGGGAATACACCGCTGTAAGTAACTCATTACAAATTACACCTGAAAGATAAATTAAATCTGTGATATAGACTAAGTTTGCGGTGTGTGGCCAGACTTTCTTCTGTGAGTAACTCGTGATGTTAGAACAGTAGAAAGGCATCATGGCACACTCACAAACTAGCATGTGCCATGATGCCTTTCTACTGTTCTACTGTTCAAAGCCCATTTCGTGTGCACCTTACTGTACAACTGGTAACAAATTGTTGAGTGCGTTTGTCGTTTGTTTTGCTTAACTCGTGATGTTGGCGCAGCACGGGCTTGGCCGGTGTTCACCCGACGCCCTCAAGTGTTGCTGTGAAGGAGTCGCGATATTGGGATATTGAATGTCTTATATAAGTCACAGACAGACAAATAAGTAGCATTTTCAGAAAGATTTCAGCAGTTGGCATCGCCATGATGGGTTTCATTGATAGCTTTAGTCCACCTAAAACCAATATTTTGTGTATGGGGCCCATAAGTATCATATTCCTCTGGCAGAGTTTGACTAATTCCAAGAACCAGACAGGCAGTGTACTAAAAATACTGCTTTGCATAATTTTCCTGAGCTTTCTTGGTTGTTGATAGAAGCTTATGTCCTCTACCTCACAAAAGTGCTTGCTAAGCTTCTAAGTTTATCCCAAAAGGAAAAATACTGTTGTTGTAACTGCTTAAAAAGCTAGTTGGAGTTGGGATTTAATTTGTTAGTCAAATCCATCTTAATCTGCTAGAGCATCTAACACTACCCTGTCCACAGGGTGACAATGCTGCTATCCAAGTGTGCCTCCATTTCTTCATAGAGTGGAGGAAAGATGGAGGCCGTTTTTATTTAGCCTTTTATTCCTTTATTTTTCACCTGGTAATCTGATCAATAAAACATTTCCTGTCTTAATGTGCCCATACACCTTACAATTATTGTTCGAAAAACGAATGCAATCTGTTTTTCGTACGATAATCGGCCAGTTGATGTGAAGTGCACGACCGCAATTACTGTACAACTGGCCGTATTTGGTTGAACGGACAGACTAGAAAACTTTCGTCGAAACAGACGAAATTCGATAGATTAGTGTTGTTTTCATGCAACAAACATCTCAACATGAACACTGCAAATGCGCAAACGAAAATCTGTTCTGTCGATCGCCAACATTTGGCCAGTTAGTATTGCTGATGAGCAATTATCGAAATCTACCTTGGTCTGTGCGTGATGGGCTATTTGTGCAGAATTTGTACGAGGGTGCGATGACGGGACAAAAAAAATGTAACAATAATTGTAAGGTATTTGGGCACCCTAAGACAGGAAGTGTGTAACTGATCAGATGACCAGGTAAAAATAAAGGAATAAAAGGCAGCCACCACATTTAACGTTTGCAATATGTTTAATTTTTGTTTTGGGGTTTAGATACACTTTCAAAACCAAAAATCTGATATATTTTGTTGGCCCTGGGGGCCATCTTCCTGATCCTAACTGCATTTCCCATCAGGGAATCATTGATGCTAATGAACTTGGATCATGTTTTGGCAAATGTTTGGCTAAGAATGCAATCAAAGATGAAATGGACATTTGCAGTACAGATATGACACGTGTGTGTTCTCTCCTACAGTCATCTTGCCTGTGATGAAGAGCGAGTGGAAGAAGCCAAACTACTAGTGGAACGTGGAGCAAGTATTTATATAGAAAATA